CTTGGATAAATACCTACTAGTGCAATTGCTGGGTTGTAGGGTAGTTCTATTTTTAGTTTTTTGAGGAATCTCCATACTGTTTTCCACAGTGGCTGCACCGGCTTGCATTCCCATCATTACTGCAGCTTTATAATAAAAGTGTTAACTCTCCAACTTCACTCTTCTCTTTTTTAGAGTTGTTTTTAGCTATTCCAGGTCCTTTGCATTTCTATGTGATTTTAGCATCAGCTTATTAATTTCTTTTTTTATTATTATTTATTTATTTTGAGAGAGAATGCGTTATGTTTATTATTTATTTTTAGAGAAAAAGAGAGCCCGCATGTGCAAGCCGGGGAGAGGCAGGGAGAGAGGGACGGAGGGAATCCCAATCCCAATCTGTGACAACAGTGGGAAGTCTAACTCAGGGCTTGATCCTGAGAACCATGAGATCACATCCTGAGCCGAGATCAAGAGTAAGATGTTCAACCAGCTGAGCCACCCAGGTGCCCATCAGCTTGTTAACTTCTACCACAAAAGTTTTGGGGTTTTATTTAAATTGCGTTGGATCTATAAATTAGTTTAGGTAGATGTGACATCTTAATATTGAATCTTTGTTCATGAAGACTATTTAGGTCTTTTATAATTTCTCTCAGCAGTGTTTTGTAGTTTTCAGGATAGAAGTTTTTCACATCTTATGTCTGATTTATTCAGTATTTCAGAATTCTTAATGTTATAGTAAATAGTGTCTTTAAAAATTGTTCATTTCTGATTTTTTGTGCTTATACAGTTGGTTTTTGTATATTAGTCTTTTTTTTTTTTTTTTAACGTTTATTCATTATTGAGAGACAGAGGGAGACACATTGTGAGTGGGGGAGGAGCAGAGAGAGAGGGAAACACAGAATCGGAAGCAGGTTCCAGGCTCTGAGCTGTCAGCACTGAGCCTGATGAGGGGCTCGAACTCACGAACCCTGAGATCATGACCTGAGCTGAAGTCGGCTGCTCAACTGACTGAGCCACTCTGTCGCCCCTGTATATTGGTCTTGTATGCTTCCATCTTGCTAGATTTAGTTTAGTTCTAGTAACTATTTTGTAGATTTCTGGGTTTGCCTGCAGATAATCATGTTATCTCTGAATACACACAATTTTCTTTTTGATCTGCTTTTTATGTAGTTCCTGTCAGGATTTTACTGACCAGAACTTCTAGTATAATGTTGATTTAAGTATGATGTTAGCTGGATGTTTAATGTAGATATTCTTTATCAGGTTTTGGAATTCTGTTCCTATTTGATGAGAATTTTCATTAGGAATGAATGTGGGATTTTGTCAAATTCTTTTTCTACATGTATCAAGGTTATATGGTTTTCCTTTTTCTTAATATGGATTATTACTATTTTTAGTATTAAATGAACTTTGTACTTCTGGGTTAAAAACCTTGGTTTGGTCAATGTACTGTCCTTTTAATGAATTATTGGATTTGATTAGAAAAGATTTTGTGTATAATTTTTGCATTTT